ACTTGCTGGTTTTAACAGTTTCACTTCAGCTTCTTGGTGTCCCTCACTGGCTATTTAGTACTCAGACAGTTCACACAGCACATGTTTGTTGAGCATTTACTGTGAGCCAGCTAGAGTGTATTGTTTCTAGATATTTTATTTCAGCTCAGATTTTGGTTGTTTGCTTGGATACCATGCAAGCTGTGGTATCAGATAGCCTTCAGGTATTTTGACATCTAAAGCCAGTAAATGTCCACGTTTCTGTACTTGTGGCTTCTCTTTTCATATCCCTTGTTTGTGTCTTGCCTGGATCCTGCCTCAAGGAGATAAGGAGAAGGGAGTTGATAACTGGGGGGTCATAAGCCTTTCATTATTCTGGTTTTTGAAGCTAAGGCTTTTTAGTGCCCAGGCCTCCAAGGTATTCTCATCTGCTCTAAGCTGCTGGATTGTATTTTCTGTTGACTTTCTCCATTTTTGATCAGTGTGTTTACAAAACTAAAACCGTAACTCAGAGGAGAGTGTCATGACTTACATGATCTTATCCTGATCTTATAAGTGTATTTTGTTCCATCAAGAAAAATTGGGCTCAGATCTGCAGCATATCCTAAGGGTGTGTCTTTATTCTTCCAGATTCCATTCTTAGCTCCCTTTTAATCCTTATAAGAGAATTTGTTTCCCACATAGTTAAGTACGTGTTGGCTCTGTAACACCAAGAAGATAGACTTGAAACCTTTGCTTGATAGTGAATCACTGACAGCTTTAGCCAGGGGAAGGACAAGATCAGATCTGTATTTTAAGAAGCATGTTCTTCTGGCAGTGAGGAAGTAGGACAGGAATGGGCAGCATTTCAGTGTCTAGATATGATGAGACGAGTTAGAAATCAACTGAAGACCTGAACCAAGGCAATGGAGTAGATTTGGGAAAGGGTAGTGGTTCAGAGAAATTTAAGATAAGTTACCTAGAGTTGGTAATGATTAGATACATCTTGTGAAAAAAAGGAAAATGACTTGCTATTTTGGCCCTGGCTAAGAGTATGAAAAGTTCTACCATTTACAGTGATAGAAAATAAGGAGTAACTAATGGGTTTTTTAATTTTTATTTTATTTTATTTTTTTTGGTGAGGATGGGTGGAAATCATATTGGTGATAATGTTTGTTTGTTTTTAATGGACTCTTTGAATTTCCCATATTTAGGTCCAGGCTTTAAAATTGTAAACGAGTGAGAATGCGGCTCCCGCAGATATTTTTGTTTTGGTTATACAGATTTGGAAATTAAAGATATTTGAGAATCAGCCTAAACTGTGGGCATAGATGAGGTTTCTCAGGGTTCAAAGCTCCCACTTAGTTTGTGGATACCCAGGTTATAGCAGTTAAACTATATCCTCTTCTTATTTGCATGTTTATCTCCCCACCAGCTGGTCTACACCTTGAGGCCAGAATTGCCTCTCTTCCTTTCAGCATCTCTACCTCCTGATACAGTACTTGGAACATGGGCAGCCATCCACTTGGGTAATTAGTGAATGAATAAATAAATATATGAGTAAACCGAAGAAGCATTTAAAGTGAGAAGGGAGGGACTCTGAGGAAAAAATGATTTGGGATTATAGTAATATTTGTAAAGAGTAGTCTGGCAACTTTGATGACAGCCAGAAGAGACTGATGAGTATTGCTGAAACCAAGGGAGCAGAGAGCTACAGCATTAGGAGTTACTGGTCATAAGGCTCATTTAATCCTTTGGCTCCTCCTTCCCTCCCCACCATGACTCCATGAGAAAGAGCAATGAAAGAAATTACCCTATAACAAAATCTATACAGGCAGCAAGTATGTTTGATTCATATGCTTGAAATTTGGGATTCTCTTATCGCTGGCAAGAAGGCATACCATTACCGGACTATATTGGCATTAAAACCAAGTTCATCACGTGATTATATTCAATTTGGCTGAATAACTGACAAGCTATACCATGTTCTTCTACACATTAGGTGATAAACTGGCAGGAATGTTTTTAAGAAAACATTATTTCAGACATTATTTGTGTCTTCAGAAATTATTTGAAGGCAGGATTTTTCGGCATGAAGATTCTTGCAGAATTCAGTGAGGATGTATTATAACATGCCTAGCATGTAGCCAGTTGCTTTTGTAATAATGGAGGAGGAGAACTGAGACAGATCTAATTAGACAAAACCCTACCCTGACTGTTTTGTAAAGACATTGAACTTGTTTAGGAAACTTAAGAAATGAATCCAGCATTTTCTCAGAGCACTTTATGTCATAACCCAATGTCACGAATAACTTCACGTTATATCCTAGCTCTCTCTCTTCCCTCCAGTTGTATGAAAACATCTTTATATGTCTAATCAGTTATATTGCTCAGACATAGCAGACAAATTCAGTAATTTCTCTTAATCTGTGTTCATTAAAATTTTTTAACCTGCAAGACACTAGAGCAGCATTTCTTCTGCCCCCAGGAAATGGTATGGAAACCTTCAGACAGACTGACTCCGTTACTAAAGAAAACTGTGTGTCGCAAGAGACACCCCTAACTTATGGTTTTGATTAGGGCTTTTTCTTACATTTTTGTTGCTTTTAACTTTTTTGTTGTTGTTTAGAAGTAAAGCCTGATCTGTACAAAATCTCAATTTGAAAATCTTAATTAGATTTTAAAAAACTAGAAAATTTGCCTTCAATATCTAAAGCAAGTGTCCTCTTGAGGGTAGAATCTACATAAGAAAGAAAAAAGAAGGAGGGAGGAACCTGGTATGACCACACAAGAAAGATATTAAGATATTGGCCCTGGTCAGTCTTATTTTTGTGCATCATTATGAAAACAACCAAAAATTGTTCCAAAGAAATAGGGCATATTGATTCATCAATAGTACATACATGTCATTAACATAGCACCTTACACTTCCTGAGAATTTTTGCTCAATAATCTTAAAACGCTTTGTAAAGAAGCAAGAAGAATTTTATTGGTAGATAAGTTAGAGTAAATTTGATTCAGTTGTCCTTTGTCATTTATCAATATAATTTCAGAGTTTAGGAAATAACCAAGAAGTCTATTGTCTCTGAACCTGCATAATCATTGTGTCAAGGTAGCTCTCCATCCATTCTTTAATTTATTCTTCTGTTAAATAAAAATGGGTACAGTGATGGATGGTAATTAGTTTTTAGGTGGTGAACAGGATGTAGTCTATACAGAAACCAAAATATAATGGTGGATACCTGAAACTTATATAATGTTATAAACCAGTGTCACCACAATAAAAAAATTAATTAAAAAATTTTTTTAAATTGGAATATTAATGGTTATATCACAAGTTCTACTCGAGGCATAAGAATATTATTAAATGCCAAAAATATCACGTGATTTCTGAGAAATTTTCTCTTTTTTGGGATTTAAAGATACTTCATTTTTCAGAAGACTTAATTTATTACCGTAATAAGTAGGTTAAAAGGGTGAATCAACATTTCCAGTCCAGGGAATCTTTTCTGAAGTCACCTCCCATGTGGTAACTTCTTGTGATAGAAACAGGTCGCCTTATTACGACTTCAGTCAACAACCAGGATTAGCTCATTCCTGTCTGAGGTTGTATGTGTTTTCTTTTGTTGACAAGAAGTGTGTTATGATGAATCATGGTTCCATCAACCCTGGCATTTCCTCGAAGAAATACATGGCGTGAAATTCCTTTAGTGTTTTCAGGCAAGGTTTCATTTTCTTTACTTTGTGTAACATGAACCTCTTGTTTCAAATACATTATATTCCACACCTACAGGATTCACATATATATATACATGGCTTCTACTTCATTATGTCATGTTTTTCTGGCTTATCAGGTCCTATATAAGTGAATTTTCCAAATTCTGAAATTATTCTCCAAGCGTAAAACTGAAAAGAAACTTTTTAGGGGGACGTATTCCTGAAGTATTTGATACATTTTGCTTCATTGAAGTCAGTGAATCAACTGTGATTTCTTCTGTGACTTTATTGACCTTTGATATCATAAGGTACCAGTACCCATTGCTCTTCCTATGTAGCACCTGTCTGATGCGTTTTTTGAGTTCTTTCATCTGTCTCTTACAGTTTTCTGATCTCCTTACTCAGTGTCTGACTAATATTTCTACCTGGCTAGTGTTGTTAGTAGTGTTCCTTACCCCTGTCCTACACCCTTCTCTTTTGATACCTCTGATCTGCTGAGGACTTTGAAACTGTAAAGTAAGAGAAAAGAGAATCTGATGAAGGACATGGTCAGTTTTATTATTCATAAAGGCATAATCTTCGTGGATGGGTTTCTTTCTTTTCTGTTTTGACTGAGAAGCTTTATATTATCCTTTGGACATTTATCTTAATTTTGGAGAGAGGAATTTATTCTCATCCTTGGTTTTGAACTTCAAGATCATTCCTACAAGATAATAGTGCAAATATAATTTTTAATCTTAGGATCAATTGTCTTCTCAAACAGCGGTCTTAGCTTTCAAAAAAGCAAAGGAACAGCAGGTAAATTTCACAAATAGAAAATTCATTTACTAATTTTCATGATAATATACCAACCTTTGTCTGTAGTTCTTGAACACTGGTTTCAAAATATCTCAGTATAACGTAGACTCCAGGGGGTGGAAGTGTCCTAGGGATGTGGATTCTTAATTCCACTGTTAGATATTTAACAAACTCATTCATTACTGTCTGACATTGTTCTAAGATGACACTGTGGATACAGTAAATAAAATCCTTAATTTTACGGAGCTCTTTTATATTCTGAAACATCACCAATAATATAAGGTCTTTCCTTTGAATGCTTTTTTTCCTGCTTAGATTAATATTATAAAATTAACTGAAAAAGACAAAATAGTAGTAAATGCTATTTGTGTGTGTGTGAGAGGAACATTGGCCTTGAGCTAACATCTGTTGCCAATCTTCCTCTTTTTGCTTGAGGAAGATTGTCCACTGAGCTAATATCCATGCCAATTTTCCTCTGTTTTATGTGGGATGCCACCACAGCGTGGCTTGATAAGTGGTGCTACATCCATGCCCAGGATCTGAACCTGTGAACCCCGCGTGCTGCTGAAGCGGAGTGCACGAATTTAACCACTACACCACTGCGCCGGACCCCAGTAAATGCTATTCTTGATAACGACTTTCCTCCTCTCTCATCTATACACTAAGAACAATTGTATCTCTCGTACTGCAGTTGGCAAACTCTTGTATTTATTATAAATAAAAATTTACAAATCTTCTACTTCCTAAATTCTAAACTCCTTGCAGGCAGGGTCTGTCCCTTCAACATCTCTGTATTTCCAATAGGGTTTTGTAGGTGACTTATGCTCAGCTATTGGTTGAACTCATCCAGGCTCATAGTTCCTTGACAGCTTTGAGAATGTCTCCTTCTTTTGGTGCCTCTGGCATCTATAAACACTCAATAAATATTGATTTAATTTGCATTCAAATGATATCTTAATATCACAAGAATTCACCTTGTTGTTGAATTCCCACATTCAAAACCTAAGCTTATAATAGATGCTCTTTACAAAGGCTTATTCATGTAACAATTTTAACTTCTGGTATTTTTGTGTCGTATATAACGTCAACAATTGAGCAAGCAGATGGTCTGTTCCTTTTTGAAAGGGAGCAACGTGAAATAGGAGAATTGTTGCTCAGGCCGGATGATTATTCCCGAAACAGAACTGGTAGAATTATCCCCTGCTCTCTAATCACCTTTTCTATCTTGCTTCTGTGTAATTTCCTCTGTTTTTCAGAAGAATTAGAACTTGAGGACACTGGAGCCCACCGCCTCTAGGCTTGATACGAGCTGCAAACATGATGAGGGAGGGAGGAAATGAATGTTTTCTATGGTACAAGCAAGAACTCAGTTAGTCTGCTGTGTTTGCTAAGAGAAATACTCCATGAGCAAAGTGAAGATAATATTTGATGCCATATTTTTTCCTTCATTTTCCAATATTATATCATCAGTTTGTCCCCCTTGCTTTGGATACATGAAGACGCTACTTGAGATAAAAGGTAATCTTGAAATTGAAATTTGATGATTTCGCTTCAGAACTTTAAGCAGCAAAATTTGGGGTGAAAGGTATGCATAAGAGTAAAAGTATATTTTTATATACCCATAAAATATATACTAAAAAGCTTGATCTAAAATTGAGATACAAATATAGGAAACTGCTGTTGTAGCAAATATTTATTGAGACTTCACCGTATGTACTACTTGTCACTTTGAAACATTCAGAATTCAGTGGGTTTGTTGTTGCTTTTTGGTTATGAATTTGGTATTATCCCTTTTTCACAATCTTGAGAAATTCACCTTACCATATGTTTTTCGTAAGAATTGAAATGACCAGCAAAATTGCTGACACCAAAGTTTAATTTACTAGATTTATTTTCTCCCCTGGCTATTTAGTAGTAAAGGATAGCCATTATATTTCGGAATAAAAAAACAAAGTATTCGCATCTTTTTTAAATAGACGAAGTTGTTATAGGATATTAATCACATTTAAAGTCTTTACTTTCTTTCTGGCTAGGATGAGTTTTTTTTTTTCCCCTGTCCTTTAATATTGATATGATGTAGGAAAATAATAACCCATTTACCAAGGAAAGAAAGCTTATCCAGATGTAGCTGTGTTTTTTACATTTAACAGCTCTTGTTATATTTAAAGACTTTATTACTTATTGTCCTTACACAAGAACTGGAAAATGCTCTTTATTTCGAAAGGCAATCCATTGGTTGGAGCTTGGGCTTTGAAGACCGAAGAGTGGATTCAAATTGTGATTCTGCCAATGAGTACCTGAGTCTTACCGAGAGTTCCTTAGACTTTCTAAGTTGCAATTTTATTTTCCACCTAGTAGAAATAGCACCTATTTTTGCATAATTACTAAAGGATTTTCAGACACAGGATTTGACATGTTGTAATTGAGCAACAGATATAGCTATTAATTTATTATATGAGCTGTGAGAAGCAGTGGGAGGAGTTGATGGGGCGGTGATGGTGGGAAGAAGATTCTTAAGACCTCAGATTATTCACTTTGCTGTAACATGACAATCCAGGAAAGGAACAAAGGGACTCCACATTCTCCCTTAGATATCTAATAATTCAAAAAACACCATGCTCAATTCAGCTATAAGCTTGGACTCTTTATAGAGTTTTGTTTGAATAGTGCGATCGGTTCAGTGTGATCCATTGCTTGGGTTTAACCTGGGTCCTCTGATTTTTCCCGTAACCCTTTCAGACTTTCATTTCTTGTTGCACAGATGGTGAGAAAATATGTTTAGTAGCTGGGCAGGTAAACCAATCCTATTTTGCATGAGCAGTCCCCCTCTTGTGTAAAGAAGTAGTTTCCATTCTTCAAATGGAAAACGTTCCAATTTCAAATTCTTTAGGAATAGGTGAAAAGGTCCTATTCAGTAAATGGTTAATTTAGACCTATATTTTTTCTCCTCCAGTTTCTGCCATAATTTGGCTTGTCTTTTTCCGACATAAGATCTGTTAGACTAGTACAGGTTTCATCACAGAAGTAAATAACAGCATGTTTCCTTGGGAGCAATCGAACAACAGAATAAAACAGTGCTTACTGTTTTTTGAAAGTTGTGTCAGATTGTCATGGTAATACAGAGTTGCATCATGTTGTCATAGCAACCAGAATTATAAAACGGATTTAAAGAGGTTGAAGAGATACCCTTTGGTGTTGTGATTCCTTTAACTTTAAAGATTTCTTTCCTCCTCTACTTCTGTTTATTTCATTTTGCTTCCTTTTTGTAAAATGTGGAAGGGGGAGCATGGCTAGAGGGAATAATGGGAATCCATACTTCTTCCCAATTGAAGAGTTGCAGCAAAATGCGTGAGTCCTCACATTCTCTTTGAGCCAGGTAGAATTCAGGGGCTGGAACACGGAATCAGATACACTGCTGTGTCAAGCCATCCCAATCTCGAGCAGGAGGAAGTTCCACTCCGAGTGGGTTGAAAAGGTATTTCATCTTTCTTTATGATTATTCGTGGCTTTTCTTTCAAGCAAAAACATCCCAGTCTTCCTCTGAACAAAAAGCAATATCGAGCTTTGGGAGGTGATTCATCAACTTTATCAGGCTTTGGGGAAGACTGTTTCTTCTATGTAATTAGAATGATTTAGGTCATTATAGTTGCTCAAGAGGTTAAACTTTGACCCTTGGGGTGAAAAACTAATTTCAATGCTAAACCTTTTCTATTATTCCACAGTAGGGACCAAAAAAAAGAAAAAAAAGCTTTACAAGGCAGTTGAGATATTTGTTGCTGGAGTGCTTCCAATGATAAATTTAATAAATAGTAGCAATTGAAAAAAAAATAAATTTCTCAGCTGGAAAGGTTTGTTAAAAATCACTTGTTTTAAATATACCTTCTCTTCACTCAGCCCTTCCCCTCTTGGCATAAGCAATTTGCTTTTGTTCTCTTTGTTGCTACATTGCCTCCTCTTGACTTGCTATTTAACAAACTCTTGTGATGCAAGTTGCAGCAAGTTGAAGGCATTAATAGTGGCCAGGTAGTATAATACTATTTTTAATGAATGTCTGTTTTCTATTCTTTACCATGCTTTCTTTGGAAGGAGGCCCACGAAACAAAGTATTAAGAAAACACACTGCTGCCCTGGAATGTGTGTATTAGCTGCAGATTATTTCCTATTAGCAGATTAGCTGCAAGGCTATTGGCTCAGAAAGGTCTTTGAGAGTATTTTGTTTTGTAACTGATTCAAGCCATGAGAGAGAATTGCCACCATGATTGGAAAGAAGAATTAGTTACTGTTGCCATGGACACTGGAGTTCACAGTCCCATTGTTAAATCTAGTGCTTGAGAATGAGATGCCCCAGCATGAGTTCAAGCTTTGTTAATGAAATGGTCGAATTTATTTTTTCAGAGCTGTGACAGAATCTTGTGAAATACGTTTTGGCTATAGAAACATTTAGAGATTCCTTTATAAATCAGTGTTTTCCACTAAGATAAAATAATTTTGTGCTATAGCACTCTGTGGAAACTAATACATCTGTCTCTTTTTGTAATACATTTATAACATGTCTTGGAAAATTGTATTTTGTTTAAATATAGAAAAATAAAATGTCCGATGTTCAAATTGTTAGCAGATAGGTACCAGTATGCTTTCTAGCAGTATAAATTGATGATAGTTTTATGTTAGGTGTATCTTTTAAAAAATTCTTTATAGAATAATGTAGATCAAAGCTGCCATATGTTTTAAAGGTGAGCTGTAGACCCTAAGGTGACATACATTAGGTTTTAATTTTTTAAACTGGGAAGAATTTGTGAAAGTTAAAGACCAGCGGTTTATTATGGGGATGTGGGTGAAAATCTGTGAAGTTCAAAGGGAAAGTGACAAAATGTTATCAGTCCCAGACTTCTGCTAATAGTCCAGTCAACAGATATTTAAGTGCAGGCTAGAAGCCAAGCATAATGTTCTGTACTTCAAAGAGACCTTGTAGTCTTAACCAGGCTTCCTTTTTTTATATCTTACCCCTCCTATCCATCAAAAACACTTTTGTTCCATTTTCCCCCTTACAATACTCTTTTGTTCATTTACTTTTCAGGGAGACCCAGATTCAAATCATGTTTCCGCCACTTACTGATCATGTGACTTTGGGACAATTAATTATCGCGTCTACGTCTCAGTTTCCTCATCTATAAAATAGAATACAATTTTAGAATATACAATAGAATATTCTAAATAGAATAGAATATACAATAGCACCCACTCCATAGAGTTTTGTGGATTGAATTAAATGCAAATGATAAATATAGTGATACATGGTGCTTGGCACTCAGTAAATACAATTGTTATATTCTAAAAACCTTCATTGGCTCCTATTTCTCACAAAATGTTTAGATATTCTAGCACTGAAACTCAGGCTGTTGCTGCAAACCTATCTGCCCCTCCAACGAACTCGTGAGAAATGTATCTAGTTATTGTGCCAGATGTCCCCCAAGCATATTTCATGAACATTCTTGCCTCTGAGTCTTTGCTTAGCAAAGTCCTTTAGCACTCTTGCCCCTCCTTCTTTGCCTAAGGTCGATATTTTCTTGAAGATCTACAATCTCTGAAGAATTTCCTACTAATCCAACCCCCCCACAATTTTTTATTTCTCTTCCCAGTAGTTTTTTTCAAATTTTCAAATATGTATATTAGAAACCGAGTGAGAACTGGCTTGAAATTAAAAGACCCTTAACCCTTCATAATCATCAGGCCCTCCTGGGTATATTTCATTTATGAAAGAAACATCACAAAAAATAACTATATCCCATGGATATCAGCTTTCCACAAATTTTATTTATCCTGAAAATTTCAGTTAACTTGTTTGTATTTGGCTTTCTTCTTAGTTGCTAAACCTCTAAGAGGTTCGGTTAACTTGTTATCTGGATATTTATCATTATACAGTGATTCTAGTGGTTTCGTTACCACTGGGTTCTCATCAGCTGGGAAGGCGGCATCATCAGACTTTCCATGATTCCTTTCTGTTAGCACTGAGCTGGGGGAGACTGTCGAGTTCAAGCCAAAGCTAAAGGATGACAGCAAAGCAATAGTACTTCCAAATGAAATGAGCAACAGTGTAGTGTGCTGCTAGATTGTACATATTCTCTTTCCAGTGGAATATCTTAGAATCTAAATTACATGTAAATAAAAGCAAATAACTCCCTTATTTGGAGATAAAATCTGGCAACTTCAGCTACCTGTGACATTCTAAAGAAGAGACAAAGATCTTATCAAAGAGAATAGTGACTAACAAAGCCACACAAGACGGAATTGGAACCAACTTTGGCAAAGTCTAATTGTTACCCAGTAGAAGTTCAGATGTCCACTTTGTTAATCTTCCAGTTAGCATTCAGAAAAGGACAAGAGAATTGTTAACATAAACTGACATCCTGAATAAAATATTGAAGAATTTTCCTGGCAAACCGGAATTCAGAATGTATGTTCCAGTATTTTGTTGTCGCTCCTTGATGCTGTGTGTTTAGATAATGATAGAATTAGATTATTATAAATACAAAGGATCCCGCCCGTTTTGTATTCAAAGAGCTGTAGTCTATTTGGATTCAATCTGGATAGAGGAACAATTGTTTTCCAGTTGACAAAACAAAAAACCAACCCCCAAATGCTGGAAAAACATTTTTCTAGTCCTTGATAGTAACTTAAAGGAAAGATTCTTAAGAAGATAATCACAGTTTCAGATTCCATGAGATTAATTTTGTGGTCTGGGACAATGCAATTATTTGGGCAGATCAACCTGTGACTGTTGGCAACAGTAATAACAGACAAACCCGAGAAGAACAGCAGAAAGGTAGTCATTTGACTCAGGAAGGACACAAAAATAAAAGACTCAGGGATACTGATTGTTGTACTAAATTTGCTGCCTTTTCTAGTGGAAATAGGCATTTATACTTTGGAATTCCAAATTTTTAGAATGTTGTGCATTAGCTTTCTTAGGAAAAAGTTGTTTTTGCGTGCATAAACATATGTTACGTGCATGTCCAAATCTGTAGGTTCTATGTGAATTTTAAGGTGAAGATTATAATTGAAAAGATTTTGAATAAATATAATGGCATAATTAACTATACCTCTTTACCCTCTTATAGTGAAGATATTTTAAATTATCCTCACCTTAAGGAAAAATTGTGATGCAAAGGGTTATTTTACAGACTTACTACTTGCTTATTATAATTTCTGGATTTTATGAGGATTGAGACATTTAAGAAATCCCTGTAAAACTTGGTCTTGCCCCAGTAAAATCCCTTTGTCTTGGTAAGATAAAAAGTTTGTTTGACAGAACCTCTGTGTGTGCCTTGCACTGATATCTGTATAAAAATGCAAGTGTAAAACAGAATGGAATGAAATATAGAGATAGCCATCCGCCAAATTCCACAGACATTATTTCATTCTTGTTTTCTTCTACACTTACATTTAGGTAAAAAAGGGAAATTGGAGGATCAGACACTTTTTTTCCCTTATCGGAGGATGGAGGGACACAAAACACAATATATTTTGATGTATGGCATAGGAAATGGCTTATAAAAAAATTAAGTTTCAAGTGGATCAAGAAACATATTTGAATGTTGTTAGAGATATCAAAGAATGGTAAAATATTATACACTTGATCATTGAATGTTTTTCAAAAACAATTTAAATATGTTTCAGAAAGTTATAACTTTAAAGCAGCTCCTAAAAAGCCGAATTTATGCTAATAGGAATTCTAATAAAGTATATTTCTGATCACATTTACTGTCCTCTTCAGAATGTCATAGGCACATTTTTTCTTCCTGCCTAAAGCCACACTTTGCTTTGAAATTAGAACATAATGTGTCCTCACAGCAACGTAATTCATGATCTTTTGATACAAGTAAATGAAATCAAAATGTATGCTAATTAATGTTTAAAAATCTAACTCTTTATTAGCAAACCAAGAAATATGTGATTGTTGAACTGTATTCTGTCGGACAATGGTATGCTATAAACCTTTTTAATTAGAAAAGGTTGAATGCTACAGGAACAACTTTTCTTAAAAGCATAGGGGGAGGGAAAACTTTAATTTGCTTTTCCTTAAAAACTTGTTGCTTTTTAAGACTAGGATTCAGCCAGAGTTTTAGTTTTGGTCTTGTATGATGGGAATAACTGGGCAATGCAGCCACACAAAAAATGAAATAAGAAAATATGTTTCCACATGCTGTGATGAAAAATGCTAACATTTTATTAGTATCCCATATATCTCATTTGTGTCTAAATGAGAATGTATGTACCATGTAATTCACTTGAGACTAGGTACGTGTCTGAATTTAGGCAAGAATAGGGCAGGCTATAGGGGGTAGGAAGGCCAAACTAAGTCATATAGATTGTTTTTCAGTAGACAAAGGGTGTCATTATGATGGGGTGGGAGTGTAAAATCATCAGAGTTGTTCTTTTAGAAAACAGGATGTTGTCACTATAAAAAAAAAAAAGTAGTAGTAGTTGTGATCTACCAAAAAGAGTATGTAGTTTTTTTTATGCGAACACCTTTTTTTTTTGATGAGGAAGATTAGCCTTGAGCTAACATGTGTTGCCTATCTTTCTCTTTTTGCTTGAGGAGGAATTCTTGCTGAGCTAACATCTGTGCCAGTCTTCCTCTGTTTTATGTGGGATGCCACCACTGTGTGGCTTGACTGAGTGGTGCTGGGTCCTCGCCCAGGACCCAAACCTGTGAACCCCAGACCACCAAAGCAGAACGCGGGAACTTAACCACTATGCCACCGGGCCGGCCCCTGAGAACACTTTTTAAGTGTTGAAGCATACATAACCCAACATCAATTATAATAAGCCTCCACTATTTATGAGCTGATTATTTTAATTCTGAATTGTCTAGTACCTACTTTATCATTATATATCTTTTTTTCTGCCTTTCAGTATGAATTCTCCAGTCATCTTGAATGAGAAGGAAAAATCTAGTCTCTGAAAGATTCGAGAGGAGCTCTTTTAAAAATGGCCAGTTTACTGGTTAGTTGTCTTACTTATACAAAAACTAAAGATAATCGATTGATCACCATGACCCTACCCCCACACATACACAATGGCAATAAAAAATGAATAATACCAATGTTTTTAAAAAGTTGAGAAAACCATGCTTCGTAATGCTCTGTATGAATGGCTCTGAGTGAATTGCCTTAGCTCTGTGCCTTGTTCTTAGGACTAGGAAAGAGACTAGCTACTGGCTACATTTTGACCTTTAGAGATGGCTTTAGAATCTCTGCTCACACTTTATTTCTCTGTTACTATTCAGATGTAGGTCTTTGATTTGTTTCAGTTGTCATTCTTTAGTTATTATTGAACCATGGCAGCTATTACAACTTGTATTATTTTTTATGAGAAAAAAATGATGTTAATTGATAATCACTTGGCCAGTCTCAGTTAAGTGTAGGGTATCGTCTCATAGATTTACCATAGTGAAATTTATGTTGGATTGCTGCAGAGGATGTTGTCAGCCATAGCTTAGTGTGTCCTGAAAGGGCTAAAGTGTGTCCTTTGTTAACTAATATTACCAGAACCTGAAGTTAAGCATTAGGAATAGTCTCCTTTATTGTGTATGTCATTTTCACTACTTATTTTTTGAGCCATTTATGATGGTGGACCAGATTGTCTCAATATATGAGTGATTAGGAAGTTGTAGAAACTGAGAACAGTAGCACAGGTTTTCATTAATACTGAAACTTGAGATGTTCCTTTGCAAATTTCAGTTTATATAAGCTGGTTAATTCTTTATTGGATTTATCCTAAAGAAATAATTTTCAAACTCTTTTTTTAGCAACAGTCATTTGTGTCAAAGCCATGGCTATACTTGGGTTATAAAGATTTCTTAATATGTGCCAGGGCAGTATTTCTCAATCTTTTTAGTGCATGCCCTGCTTTGATAAATATGAAAACTTCACCCACTCCATCGGTTGACTGTCCATCCATATTCCAATTGAGAACCACTATTCCTGATAGTTAATAAATATCAGAAAACACATATAATTCCATTCTTCTTGACTTTAGATTTAACATTAACGTCTCCCAATATGCTTCCTTTGTTTAATTATGAATGAGATACATTCATCCATTCAGAAAATTTATTGGAGCCCCAGCAACTGCCTATGCTCCAGGCATTACACCTGGCCCTGGGAATACCGCAGTAAAAGGGGGCCTATCTTGGAAAGTAAAAACTTAGACACGTAATTACAATAAATGCAGTAAGGTGATGATAGAGAAAGGGCCATATGTTGTACCATTATGTTTCCCACATTGTTACCTTATGTCTAATAGTTTCCCCAAAATACTTGCTGAGAGAATGATGAATGAAATCACTATTTTCTCTGAGTAGTACATAAGGTATATAAATAGTTAAAATGATTTGTATAGTACTTTGTGATTTCCAAAGTGTAACATTGCTCGTATTCTATATTCCTCTCATGGAGAAATCTTCACAGATGTCAGTTGAGCACAGTAAGTAATGAGGAGGCCTAATAAGTTAATAAATGTATCTTACATATGCAGATTTTCTTAAGTAGGTATGCCTGAGCAAATCATTGGATTAATCCCAGTATTATTTCATGGGCAAATGAAGTAATGGTGTTTCCTTTATGGTATACCCTTACCAATGATTGAGAAAGTGGTATGGCTAGTAGTCGTTAGTGCATCCCTAAAAAGAGCAATTAATAATAATATTAGCTTATGCTTACATGGTAGTTACTATGTGCTTTGCTCCATTCTAAGCACTGTAGGTGTTTTAGCTTATTTATTCCTAACAACCCTGAGAGGCAGTTACTATTATGATGTCCATTTTATCAATGAGGAAACAGGCACAGAGAAGTTTGTTTCTGGTTTATTTTCAGGTTCCCTCTTCCTTTCATTGACATTACCTTCTTCAGTCTCTCTTGCACAAAAATTCAGAATTGTGCTTGACTCTCCTGTCTGTTTTCCCTTCCACACCTCTCTCACCAATCATCTTTCTGGCTTAATTCATTCAACAATGCTAGGCTTTGAGACAAGTAATATAAACTTAGCGCTTTGTGGAATTATATTATTAGTTGCTTGTTTACTTTGTGCTTTCTCCCAGAAGGAAAGCTCCTTAAAGGCATATCATTTGCCTTGCTCTCTGCTGTATCTCTAGCACCTGCAGTAATGCCTGGAGCATAGGTGGTACCCAATGAACACTTCTTACATGAATGAAACACAAAGATACCACCACCCTCTAAGGTAGATACAAACATGTAACAGTGTGATGAGCAGGACAATTTTGTCTGGTCTTCCTTCAAATGTGTCATGGCTAATTCCTTCTTTTTCAGTCGCACTGCTCATAAGGAGCCTTTTTTCTTCTCTCTTGACTTGTTGCCTCTTGTCTACTACCTGGACTTCCTGTTCTCTATCTTTCTTCTCTCCCATCCATCCAGTCCTTTCTTCCAGGATGATCTTCCCAAGTCATATCATGTCCTAGCTCAAAATTGGGTTGTCAGTGAGATATTTCCTATGTCTGTGCCTTGTTCCCTCAACTCCACAGTAAACTCTGGCAGGGATTGTGGCAAAGTTCCTTACTATTCTCCCACAGAATGGCTATATATGGTATTGATCACATGAATTGACAGTATATAGTAAATACATTGACTCCATATGGGATGATTCAGGAAGTGTGGGACACATTAAAAAACTGAAGAAGCATATTAGTTGCCTGTTGCTGAATAACAAATTACCACAAATTTAGCAGTTTGAAATAACATGAGTTTAGTCCCTCATAGTTCTGTAGGTCAGGAGACTGGGCACCAGCTGACTGGATACTCTGCGTAGGGTCTCACTGGGTGAAACTGAGGTGTCAGCCAGGGCTGTGGTTCATACCTGGACTCAGAGTCCTCCTCTGAGCTCACTAGTCATTGACAGAATTCACTTCCTTGCAGCGATAGGACTGAGCTCCCTATTTTCCTTCTGGCTCCTGGCCAGGGACCACACTCATTTCCCATTGGCAGTTCCTTGCCATGTAGCCCCCATAGATGTTTGGTTTCTTCTAGGCCGGATGGGGTACATCTCTCTTCCTCTTCTGAGACCAGCCAGGGAAAACTCTTTGCGTTTATAGGACTCATGTGATTAGGTCAGGCCCACCTGGATAGTTTCTCTATCATAAGGTCAACTGACTTGGGACTTTACTTACATCTACAAAATCCCTCATAGCAGTACCAGGATCTAGCGTTACTGAATGAGCGGAGAAGGGACACCAGGGGCCAGGAATCTGGGAGGGCACCTTAGCATTCTGCCTGCTCCAAGGAGTTACAGATTCTGTGGTCTTAAAAGGAAATTTACTTCTAAAGGTGATGCTTCAGGACAAGTGTACAAGATTGCTGGTATAGTCTTTACTCAACCAATATTTCTGGAAGCTCTCTTGAAATTCATCAAGCACTACTCTAGCAGTGTTTGCATGCTCCATCGGTGAGATAAAATTGGACAACTAATTTAGCATCTTCCCTCAAATACCAAATTTTGATGACGGCATTGTAGAAGGTGTTATTTCTGGGAGAAGTAATAAATTTGTAAAGCTATTTTAGTTAAGCTCAATCGTTGAAGTGTTCTCAAGAAAAATACTTTTATATTATGTTAAAAGCAAGTAACAAACTCCAATGTGGAAGCAACACTCTAAAGAACTGAAAGGAAGCAGGGCAAGGATTTAGGAAAACTGACTTCTAGTCCCTGTTTTGTTCTTGTGGGGCAGTATTTGAGATGTCTTCAACATCTCGGTACTATAGATATTTCTTTTATCCTGGGGATATGGTATTTGACTTGCTCCTCTCAGGTTAGTGTTAGGAGACTAAAATTTGCAAATCTCTATGAAATATTGACTATTCTAACTTACTGAATCTTTAAATATTGAGTCTTAGATATTTAAAATGAATACGGGGTAGTCATGTCATGATACTGTGTTCACCTATGTTTTCTCTGCCAGAACCTTATTTTAGGCCTAAGCCAATGAAAACATATGGCATTATTAGTAGTGTTAAAGATGGAAGGAATGCTTAGATTTTCTAGTTGGGAGATGGTCTGCCTTATTTGGAGATACTATAGATGCTGGTTTATTTTAATGAAAAAAGATGCTTTCACTAGTTCTAAAATACTTATGATGTTCTCATTCCATTCTGTAAGAAGAATAGAACTATTTTTTTTTCCCAGAGTTGTTGTATTACAGTGATTAAAGGGGAAAAACATATATATTTTACAAAGCAACTATGAGTCAAACACACTTTTCCATGAGAGTACATTTAGAACCAGGAAATATCGCTTCTTGTTTTCGGTAGTTTCCTGTCTAAAGAAAATCCAGTTTATGTCACTTACCTGCCTTTCAAACCATCACTCATTTTAGAGACTACTGTGAGCTGATTACAGTGTAATTTCTTTGCTGTGTTAAGTTATATGTATGAAATTTGCAACCTAATGTGTATCTGTACCTCTAGATGGCTGACAATCTTAGAAAAGAGGTAGGTAGTGCCTTTTCACATATCCTTACATTTATGCATCTACAAAGGTTTGGGAATCAGACCAGAATTTGAATTTTGACTCTGCTGCTTACTAGCTGTGTGAGCTTCGGCAAGTTACTTAACCTCTCTGAGCTTAAATCTCATCTGTAAAATGGAGATGAATATTTCTTCATCATGGGATACCTAGAATTAAATAAAAAGGCATAAGTGCCTAACCTGATGTCTAGGACATTCTAATGACCAATACTTATCGTTTTCTACCTCTCCTCTTTTATAGTCCTGATCACATATCTGTTTTGATAGTAATCTCCTTATTCATTAGCAAACAGTTACCGAATTTTTGTTCTGTGCTAGAATCTGTGTCAGGTGCTGAAAATACAAGGATGAATAAGACATGGCCCTTGCCCACAAAGAGGGCAAGACCAACTTATAGGAAAGAACAACATATATGCATTCAAAATGTGAGATAGTTAAATAATATTCATATGAAAACTCATTTGAAAATGCCAAATTGCAATTCCTTATTACAAAAGATAAGTTATATAACAAGTTATATTGATCACATGGAAATAATTACATTAATCTTCTTTCTGGGGTTTGCCATGGCTTTCCATTCCTTTCTGTTGCATTTAAGGTGGGGTTCTTTTATCTGAAATGCCCACAGGATATGGATCCTGGCTATTGAAGTTATATTCTTATTTCCTTTGCTGCTGGAACCCTGTTGATGGTCAACTGAAGCTGTTTTTATAATCTCTCTAGATTTGATCTTTGATGAAAGGAGCCAAAGAGAATTCAAAGAGTTACCTTGCCTTAGGGACTTCCTTCTACTATTAACTTGATGTATCCCAACTTTGTTGGGGTTTAAGAAATACTAAAAGGCTCATGTTTATTCAGTTTTGACTTGAAAGTTGGGGGGCGGGTGCTCTCCTAGTATTGCGATGTTTGCAAGAGAAGATACAGCCATTACTTATGATTTGATGCATCGTTTCTTGCATTAAATATTTTTGATATTCTAAGTAATTGAAGCATGGAAAACTGCTTTGTAAAGTGCAACAATTAATTCATTATTTATTACCATAAGATTTTTCAAAGTCAGAATTGACCTGCATGTTCAGTTATGATTCTGTGAAATCGGTCTTCATACGTAAGCTAGGTTTTGCCTTATGCATAGTCAGAATGTGGCAAGTTAGGACTTTCAACATCTCAACATACTTACGTTTACCCTCATTTGAAATCATGTTTTTTATCCCCCATTGAATGGTTCGTTTTCATTTACAGCTGTTATTCAAACAGCAAAGCTAATGAACTGATTTGGGGAATGTCCTAGTGAAATATATCAGTTTGGGGTCCTGGCTGAGCCCCTTATGTATACTCAATTTTTACTTCGAGGATTCTTTACCTCCTCCGTATTTCCTTAGCGTTTTATGAGACATACGAAAAGCACTACCCCATGCTGCCCCCTATTCTATTGATTCATATCATTATACCTTCTTCCTAGTCATACTGAAATTTCCCAAGGACTGTCATTCATCTCTATATTTGTCACAGTGCCTTTTGCAGCCCCTTATCTGAACTGCTTCTCAGTAGAATCTTTCTTAATCGAAGCCTTAAGTGAAAAGTTTGATATTTGAGCTATACCAAAACATTTTAGAAAAACTCAGAGATGGGAAGAAAACGACGATTTTCTTAGCAGATATTAATAACCAGGTTTCCACTCTGTTCCTGAAAGCAGTTCTAAACATAGTCCATTTCTGTTCTGCAAATAGTTATCCTCTTTATTTGTGATGAGCAGACAGAAGCTTCTTTAAACAGCAAAAGTAGTTGCTCAGATTTCGGAATGAATAGCGTTCTCATAATAGTTTGTATGCCCTAGTTTTTTGATGATCTCGTACAGTTAGATGAGGCTCTCTAGTGTTTAAGTTATGAAACAATGTCACTTCACTTCCAGCGTGTTCTTCCACCCTTGTGATTTTTAAGGACAGATAAGTCATATAGGTACTCAGTATCGGAACTGTGGGAGAAGGATGAGGCTGGTTAAGATCAAAGGACTGGTTGGGGTAAATGAGGGATTGGTAAGCAGCATTATGAGTTCCATTGGCTGGCACCACAAAAGTTTTGAGACAAATTGAAATTTAAACTCCATATGTTGGATGAATTGTGCTTGGCTAGGTCACACTTGGCTGCTTAGTTTCATTAATTCTTAGTGGCAACCAGCCTTTGGAAGAGCTATTTATAAACCTGAAATTTCTGATCTAAAAATGGGCAAATAAGTCAGCTATGTGTATATCTTATTGACCAAACAGTTATCTTTTTCTGAATCTGTTCCATCCCTTAGTACTTGGAAAAAAGGATTGATACTTGGAAAGGTATCAACAGCATATTTACAGGAAGGAAAAGCGAATATCAACTCATTGCAAATGATAACTCTAACCTACTCCGTTCTCTTTGTGATGGTAAAAAGGAGCATAATATTTAATATTTTATTTTAATCTAAAGTATTGTTAAGTATTTTGTAGTAAACTTTTTTCCTAACCAATGTTAATAATTCTGTCAACTACTTTAATGGTTGGCATACACATAAATTTAGTGTTCATATTGAATCAAATCATTAGCGTGAAAAAATTACGCAACTGCAAGTCCTGTTAAGTAATTATGCTAGATTGGCACTTCAGAAGAGGTTCGTCACATTGAAGTATTATCATTGTAGAAAGAAGGCTCTTCAAAGAAGCCTTCTATTTTAAAACTTGTTAATGAAAGGGACTAAAAAATAGTTATATACGTATGTAAAAATTGTTTCTGAGTATAATTTATGCATCCTTTACATGCATTCGTCTTACATTGAGAGGTTACACATTAAGGTAGTTTCTTGATTCGATGTAGTGTTCCAGATAGATTTCTGATCTTTGAAAGCATTAGGTAGAATAAAGGAAAAAAATGAAACAGAAGGAAGAAAATAAAATTGATCTCTCCCCAGATAAAAACTCAACATACCTAGAGGGCATCAGGTTTCCCATGCCTTATAAATATTATTCCTTCATATTGAAATTAGCCAGTCTCAGACTATGATCTATAAACTGACACTTTTCCCTACAAACTCTCTGAAACCATATAGACACTCTGATAGCCATTTGAGTGTTGAGCTCTTACGTTTAAACTTCTTAATAATGATAGCTACCATTATTGAGTGCTCCCTTTATGCCAGGCACTCTGCTAAGTGTTTTGTATAGTATTTCATTTCATCTTCCTCTTAAAAGCTATAGATTAGGCAAAGCAGCTCAGAGAGGTAAAGTGCATTTCCTGAGATCACATGCACTAAGTGGCATCGGGATTTCTGCTCATGATGGCCTGTCTGACTTCCATGGTCATCTTCAGTCTGAACAAAAGGAAATCCCCAAGCACATTAAAGCGCATCATCTACATAAAGCAAATTGAAGCAAATGCTATGCAGTCCGAGTATACAAATATCAATATGACTGTTTTCCTATGAACCCGACTTTCTGTCACCTCTCTCAAATGTTTCTAGCCTCTGCTTCTCTGCTGTCGAGAATGAAAGACCATCACTCTCTCCAGGCACTGTAAAGTTATCTGGTCCTTTCTGCAGATAAGGGCTTTCTGATGGCTGTGATCAAGTGTTTTGGGGGAGACCTTTCTATGAAAGATTTGGAGTTTATGTAATGTTCTCATTGCTCATTTTTCTGGCTTCATTCATTTATTAAAAGCGAAATCTGTGACAAGTTTACTGCTTGTTAATATAAGGGCTTTTCTTTGCTACCCATTTATTCCGTTGATATGTGTATTGATGTCCTAGCTGTCAGTGATTTGTAACATGATTAAATATAGGTAAATGCATATAAAAGGTTATATTTGGATATAAGATTTTACAAAAGATCAAATTCTTTAAGAAATTGACAGACGTCTTGGGTTTTGTGGGTGTTTTTTTACATGATCATCTCTATTCTTTGGGTTAGATCATAAATACACATTTCATAGGGAAAAGGAGATGCTTATTTTATTTTATTTTTTCACCATACAGACCACTACACATTGCTTGGATCGGTCAGCTCCAGGCCAGATACTGTTTCCTCTACAGAGCCTTTCCAACACAAGGGAATCTTTAACACACTTAGTATTTCCTCACCTGAATTATGGTACTATCTGTCCTGTTGTGCCTCCTACACTAGCCTGTAGGTTACCTAAGGGCAAGATCAACATTTAATTCACCCATAGTCTTGGGTAAGTGCTCAATTAGTGTTTGTTGAATTGATGAGTATTTATTATTTTAAATAGTACAAATATTAACTGTGTAAAGTGCAATACGTGATTTTTATAAAATGCTTTCTTAGATAACTTGAAAAGATAATTGATTGTGCCTGATTTATTATTTTATCCCCCAAACACTAGTACCTTGTGCATAGTATGTCTAAAACCTATTTGTTGAAAGTTAGCTGAATGACATTTTTAAAGTAGAATTTCCTAACACATCCTTTGTGTTCATGTTGGAAATCTGCTCCACCCACAAGCATATGGAGGGAAAATAGTGTAAAAAGACTAGTCATATTTCTAGTCTTTATGATTCAATTTACAATCTGTGTAAAACATTTTTTTTCCTGAAAAATGGATATGTGGCACGAAACTGAGTCAATAAAATTCAAAAAAAGAAGAAATGCAGATGACCAATAAGCCTATTGAGTTTTATCCTCATTATTGATAAAAGAAATATGCATTTGAATAAAAATGAAATTCTGTTTTTCTATCACATTCATAGATATGGGCTAGTGAGTACTTTGATGATGTAAATTGCCGTATCTTTTTGGAAGTGTATTGGACAACACATAGCAGAATTTTAAATCTGCATACCTTGCTAGAAATCTGTCTGGTCCACTTCTGGTAATTTAGTCAAAAGAAATATCAAACACATGGATGCTCATCATATATTGTTTATCTTAGAGAAAAGAAAGGGTAAAGGGAGGAGGAAGGAAAGAAGAGAGGGAGGGAGGAAGATTGGAAGCGATTGAAACATGTGATAGTATGCACTTTGCTAAATACACCATTTATACCATAGCATGGATAACTATGCACACATGAAAAAGGACAATGTGGACTACTCTCTGTTTATTGACGTGAGATGGTGTTAAATGACAAAAAAAGTAGACTAAAGAAACAGTCTGATAGTGAGATCTCAGTGCCATTTGAAGATTTGCTGCATGATATAGGGAGGACTAAGGACACAGAGATAGAAACAGGAGACCATGTTCTAATGGAACTTACCACTCTGTAACTCTGAGCCTAAGGAGTTAACAGTGGCTATTTTACACTCGAAAGATATGATTTGGTTCCAAAATTGTGGATCTAAGCTAGAGAAGCTTTGATGTCAATAAATATAGAGAAATGTCTATAAAAGGGGGGTATATTTAGGTATAAGATTTTACAAAAGATC